CAGAATTTTATTCTTTTTTTTTTATGAGACAGGGTTTCTCTGTATTGTTTTGGAAGCTGTCAGTCCAGCCTGGCCTCGAACTCACAGAGATCCGCCTGCCTCTGCCTCCCGAGTGCTGGGATTAAAGGCATGCACCACCACCGCCCGGCCAGAATTTTATTCTTTCCAAGGTATATTTAAGGGGCTTGGAGGAGGAATCAAGGAGGGACAGCTTCAAGGAAGCTATTAGGGCAAAAGGTCAGGGGTAGAACCACCTGTGTTGCTAGGTAACCTGACCGTAGGTCCTTACTTTATCTATCTCAGTCTTTCCCTATTGTCCAAGCCTATCTCCTGGCAGACTTGGGGGCTTTCTGTTGAGCTCATCTTTAACTGCTAATTAAGCTGCAGGCCTGTTTCTGGAATTTAGCAGAGGTAGCAGGGTGGTCCATAGCACGTACTCTATGAGGATTGAGTCACGTCTTTTCTATGAATACGTGAGGTAGCCGCAGCTGGCTGATGACTGGAGGCCCCTGACAGAGTGCTAGATTTTTTTGCTCAGGGATTGGTTGGTTACTTTGGCTGGCCTGTTTACCCTACACCATGCCATCAAGGCTCTCCTCTGAGGAACCCAGAATGCTGGCTGTTTAATGACTGTGGGACCCAGGACCAGTTATACTCCTGCACCACCCTCAAGTCTGGTTTGAGAATCCCACCACCACCAATCCTGCTACCCTCTTGCCTGGTGACAACTCACAGGCGCTCATCCATGACTGTCAGGAGATGAAAGATGAAACCAGACCTATGGGAACCACAGCAGTTACTTTAACTTAAATGATTTGGGCCCAAACCAGGTACCTCAGCCCAGAGAGCAGAACAGATTGATCTGACCCCAGCTTTCAGTTGGTATGCCTTTACTACTGGGCATATGCACAGCATGATCTACAGAGAAAGAGGCCTTCTCACTGCTGGGGAAAAGGCATTGGAAAATCTTGGCCTTCCTAGAGGCTGCTAACCTGGCTATCAACAAATGGCCCTAAGACCAGCAGGGTCTATTGATACTATGATGACATTGCATGACCTCATAGTGCCCAAGGGTAAAGAAGAAATGGACAGCTCAAACCCAGAGGTTGATGGAGGACACCAGAGGGAAAGATCATTTTCCCAGAAACAACTGGCAGGAGTCTAGTAACTGACCTTCTCCAGGATATTCACTGGGGTCAACAAAACTTTCTGAGTTGCTCAGACAAAGGTATGCTATACCTAGACAGGACAGCTTAGCACAGGACGTCTCAGCCAGATTCTAAGTTTGTGCTCAAATGAATCGGAAACAGAGAGCCCTTACCTAGGAAGTAGTCCAAATGAGAGACCAACACTCCCCCCCACACACACAGTGAACTCTGGGAAACTGATTTCACTAAGATCTGGCCTGCTGAGGAAGGATAAAAGTACCTTTTTTTCGGTGGGTAAAAGAGTTCCCCACCTGGAATAAGACTGTTCAAATAATAACTTAAAACACTCCTCCAGGAACTGATTTGGCCTCTCCCTAGCAATGAGGGTCCAACAATGGCCCAGCTTTCATAGCCAAAGCCTGTCAATTAATAGCCAATGATTTAGGCATAGATCTAAAAATTCCATTGTGCATATAGACCCCAGATCTTCTGGACAGGTAAAAAGAATGAACAGAGCATCAAAAGAAACTGTCAAAATTTTCATTTGAGTCCAGTCAAAGATGAATAGACCACCCTCCATTGTTTCACTTCAGCCCACATATAAGGATGGGTTTACCTCCTATGAGATTATGTTTGGAAGACTTCCTGTAATGAGTCTTTTTCTGTCCCACCAGCCAGCTCCCAGATAATGACAGAGACTTATTATTAATTATGAAAGCTCAGCCTTAGCTTAGGCTTGTCCCACTAGCTTTTAAATTAAACCCATATGTTTATTAATATACATTCTACCACATGACTTTTACCGCTCCCCAATTCTGTGTGTCCAACTCATTCTGTGTCTCCATGGCATCTCTGGTTCTCCATAAAAGCTGGGTATTCACTGGACTGTCTGGGAGACCCAGCCAGCCTCTGAGTTTACCACCAGTTTCCCCTGGTTTGAAGCGTCTGATACTCTCTGGATCAGGCAGGTAGCAAAAGGATGATGAACCTAACCTGGAAAGGACCCTACAAGGTGATTCTCTTTATTGCCACAGCTGTAAAAGTAGCTGGACTTACACGATGGGTCTAACACACCCAGGTCAATAAAGTGGAAGCCGCAAATGACAGTAACAAATGGACTATTTCCAACTATGGACCCGTTAAAATTAAGGTTCCATCTGGCTCCAGGCCATTCCATTCTCTCTCTGCATCTCTACCTCCTCCTGAAACTTATGTTTGGTATGAGCACGTGCTTCAATGCCTACAGCCCTCAGGACAGGGCCAGGCAACTGAGGAAGACAGATACAGGGAAGGCCAGCAACCCACATTCTGTCTTGACCTATGCTCACTGATAACCACTTCACTTGTCTGGTTGTACTGGGGAAAGAAAAGATGTGGGAGTGTGTCTTTTGAGATGAGAATACAGAGTTTACAATTTTATGCATGCCCAGCAGCTGGACCCCTAGTTGCCAGGAACAAGAGGGTTTCCATTGCAAAAACTGTGGTTGTGAAGAAGAAGCTTCCTAAAAACACACAGATGAATATATAAAAAGAAAGCCCTCTCCCAAGAAATAAAAAATAAGAAAATACAATCCAATAGCCATAAAATAAGAAATCTGAAACTTCGCATGGAAGGTTCTGGCCTTTGGAAAACAGAGGAAACCTGGAGACTCAGATTCTGTGCCACAGGAATGGATCCTGGGGAAAGAGTTAGTTATTCCCAGCTAGAAATTAGCCAGGATTGCTGGCCATGCTTAGACATCCAGCCCTTTTACTAACTAACCAGACTGTCAGCCCGTTCACTAACAAAACTCGCTTTGACTGGGGACAGCCCAAATTAATGTTGGAGGGCTTATATTAATTAACATTACATTAATTAACATGTTGGTTTTCTACTGCATGTACCAGGCTTGTGAGCTTCCAGGAATTCTCTTGTCTCTGCCTCATCTGCACGCCAGAAGCACTGGGATTACTGGCACATGTGTGATTGCCTGGCTATTACATGGTCCTGGGGATCCCAGCTCAGGTTCACACTTGCACAGCAAGGTCTTTGGTCCCCACAGAGCCATCTCCCCAGTCCTTGACTACAACTTCAGTCATTTTTTACCGTGGGTTTACAATGTGTAGAAGTGGCTTTGTGCAGCCAGGCAGTGGTGGCGCACACCTTTAATCCCAGCACTTGGGAGGCAGAGGCAGGCGGATCTCTGTGAGTTCGAGGCCAGACTGCACCGACAGCCTCAAAAAAAAAAAAAAACCAATACAGAGAAACCCTGTCTCGTAAAAAAAAATTGCTATAAAGATACAAGGATAAAATTTAAGACGGAGACCCTGAATTTGGAGCACTAATATGAACTCATTGTCATTTCCTAAGTTTAAAAAGTTTTAGTTGCACAACATATGTACAGTGTAAATTCTCACAAACTGACTATATCTGTCATAAGCATCCAAACCAAGTGACCAGACGCTGCTCCTCAGAACCCTCACACTGCTTCTGTCACTACCACTCCGGGGCAGGACACCCCACCCTCCCCACTATCCTGCCTTCCAACTACATAGACAAGGTATTGATTTTTATACTTATTATACCGGGAGTCATAGACTATGGTTGTTTGTTTTTTTATGACAGGGTCTGTAGCCTAGTGGTGGAGTACACCTTTGATCCCAGCACTCGGGAGGCAGAGGCAGGCGGATCTCTGTGAGTCTGAAGCCAGCCTGGTCTACAGAGTGAGTTCCAGGACAGCCAGGGCTACACAGAGAAACCCTGTCTCAAAACAACAACAACAACAACAAAAAAAAAGACAGAGTCTCATATAGCCCCGGCTGGCCTTGAGCTTGCTCTATGGCCAAGGCTGGTCTTAACCTCCTGCCTCTACCTCTCAAGTTCTATGATTTTAGGTGTGTACCACTGTGCCACATATATAGGCTGGGGATCAAACCCAGAACTTCCTGCATGCTAGACTAGCACTCTACCAACTGAGCTACAGTCTTGCCTAGGATGTAGGATCTTTTATGTCTTTTATGTCTGTTTATTTTGCTCAGAATTCTGCTTTGGGGATGTATTTGTATTATTGCCCAGACATAGGTTGTTCCTTAGGGTTCAAACTTCTACTTGCTTCAGAAAAGCATTAGGCCAACATGCAGGCTCTGGAACCAGTTGCCACACCCCAGGAATGGACCTATGTGTGCATTGATGGTATAAGGTCTAAAGTCCCCCCTATTTTAGTCTATTTCACTTGCAGCAGTGGTTACTAACTGCTAGTATCCTACACGCTCACAGGCATTGAGTGACAAAATGCACTTGAGGTAATGGTTAAGTACTTAAATAAATCTGAATTAGTTCACTGTTTTGATAAGATTTTAGTTTCATTTTCTAAATAAGGTACTAATTTTGATACACTGTACCTAAAATTCTCATTTAACTATAATAGCCCCTTTAAAATGCACAACCTAGTGACCAAGTTTGGAGGTGCATGCCTGCAATTTCAGCACTAACAAGAAGGCTGAGGCAGAAGTTTAGTGAGTTTGAGGCAGGCCAGTGAGACCTATCTCTGAAACAGGAGAGAGGAGAGAGGGGAGAGAGAGAGAGAGAGAGAGAGAGAGAGAGAGAGACAGAGAGACAGAGAGAGAGAGAGAGAGAGAGACAGAGAGAGAGAGAGACAGAGAGAGAGACAGAGAGAGAGACAGAGAGAGAGAGAGAGAGAGAGAGAGAGAGAGAGAGAGAGAGAGAGAGAGAGAGAGAGAGAGAGAGAGAGAGCACCAGCAGTATGTTTCCTGGAAATTTATCTCAAATATTATCAAATTTCAGATTTTAGTTGAGAAATTTTGGATTATCATTCCTTGAAGACTCCAGTATGTACATGGACTAGTCGGGACTAAAGACACTTGAATTTGCTTCTATTTTACGTTTACAGTAGAAACATCAATCGTGTCATGCAATATAGAGCAACAGCTCACGAGAGTGGTCACAGGGAAATCATTATGTTTGACATCAACACCCATAAAAAAGTCTTTATTACTTAAGGAAGTAATTTTAGAATGTTCATAAGTTTGCAAACACAATTCACTTCGTTCTTAAATACGCAGAAGGCTTTAAAAACTAAAAGGATTGTGAAGACCTAGGCAAGATCCCACTTATTTTACTTATCATTTTTTTAATTGGTGGTGGTGTTTTCACTTTTTAGCCCTGGCTGGCCTGGCACTTGCTATGTAGCCTAGGTTGGCTTGAATTCAGATCTGCCTGCCTCTGCTTCCTAGGCTGGAGTTTTGGGTTTTTTTGGGGGGGGGTGTGTACATGACTTTGTACACCTGTCTGCACTGGAGGCCAGAGGCTGATTTGACATTAGCTGCCTATCTTTCTTTTTGAGCAGGGTCTTTCACTAACCTGTGATCAGTTAGACTGGCTAGGGAGCAAACCCCAGGGATCCCCCCATCTCTCCACACCCTCAGGACTGACATCACAACAGGCTTGCCTCATCTGAGTTCATCCAGAGCAGCTGGGAACTAAGACTTCAAAGTCTTGTATTTTAAACTAAAGCTTGTTTTAATTTGGAGAAGCCACCATAACTCAACTCATGTTAAGCATGCTTCTAGTGACGCCGTATTGAATCACGTGGGTTAGTGCAGGTGACTGCTGTCCCTTGCAGACTTCCTGTCCTGCGTCACCTGTTTGCACAACTCATGATCTTAGACTTCCCAGTGTATCTATCTGACCTATGCCTTTCAAGTCCCTTTCAGTATTCAAAATGCATCACCTCTGTTTTTAATACCACTTTGCTGGTTGAAAACCAAGGGGAAAGCATTCACATTTTAGGTTCGTTGCTTCTTGTTTTACCAGGCAATCTGTTCTCTTCCTTATTTTCTCTAAACTGGGCGTTGAGGTTGTATGGATTAGAGGTTTGGTGCTTTTAGTTAGGTGTCAGTGTTGTAGTTAGGCACACTAGAAGGCACAGAATTCTTTATTATTCTACGTTGGTTCAGCTGCTGCCAGCCTGACCCATTCATTACCAAGGTCAAGCCAGTTTATCACTCGGTGGTTGTAATACCTAGACCAGTGGATCTCAACCCCCCTGATGCCATGACCCTTTAATACAGTTCCTCATGTTGTAGGCCCCAACCACAAAATTATTTTTTCTCCCTCACAGCTATAATGTTGCTAGCATTATACATTGTAAATATGTTTTCCGATGGTCTTAGGTGACCCCTGTGAAAGAGTTGTTTGACACCCCCCCATAGGGGTTGTGATGAGAACCACCGTTCTAGAGTCTCTATTAAATGTGCTGCCTGATTCTGCTGAAACTCTCTAATTAAGAACGGTACCTCAGCAACTCTTGGTAGCTCTGAGATACAGCTTATATAGACAATTCTTTTTAGTTATTAATTTTCAAAATGAGTTGGTGCCTTGGCTATGCTCTTAGGTACACAGTATAGATAGAATGCCTTTACACATTCGTCCTTCTGTGAAGTTCCAGTCTAGAGAGAGCTTCCTAAAGTTTAACACTTTGTCCTCTGACTGAAACCTTTCATGCGGCTATTTGTGAGCAGGAAGCAAAAAAGGACTAAAACCTTTTTTTCTTCTAGAATTTTCTACCGCTCCTTAACGTATTTGCAATGGAAGAGTTCTTAAAAGGGTCCTTAAGAATTCTTGTGAATTCGCTGGTGGTAGGTGAGGTGTGAGTGCTGTCTGAATGCCTTCTTACACTCCGTACACTTGTAAGGTTTCTCGCCAGAATGGATCCTCTGATGCTGAATAAGTGATGAATGGAGCCGGAAGGCCTTCCCACACTCCCTGCAGTCATAGGGTTTCTCCCCCGTGTGGATGCTCTGATGCTGAGTGAGCTGGGAGAGCAGCCTGAAACTTTTCTCACATTCCAAACACTTATAGGGCTTCTCCCCCAGGTGGATACTCTGGTGTTGCGTCAGCTGTGAGAACAGCCGGAAGGCCTTCCCACACTCCCTGCAGTCATAGGGCTTGTCCCCAACGTGAATGCCCTGGTGGGAGATGAGCTCCGAGTACCGGCGGAAGAACTTGTGGCACTCCTTACACTCGTAGGGCTTCTCGCCCGTGTGGATCCTCCGGTGGAGCGTTAGGTGGTAGCCGCGGCTGAAGGTCTTCCCGCAGTCCTTGCAGTCAAAGGGCTTCTCGCCCGTGTGGATCCTCTGGTGCAGGGTGAGCTGCTGCCGCACGCGGAACGCCTTCCCGCACTCTTCACAGCCGTAGGGCTTCTCGCCCGTGTGCAGCCTGTGGTGCAGCCGGAGGCCCGTGCTGCACAGGAAAGCCTGCCCGCACTGCTCGCACGCCGAGGAGCGCTCGCCGGCGCTGCTGAGCCTCTGGTGCCGGGTGAGGTGCGCGTACTGCCTGAAGGTCTTGCCGCACTGCTCGCACTCGTAAGGCTTCTCCCCGGTGTGGATCCTGCGGTGGAGACTCAGCTGCCCCCGCACTCTGAACGCCTTCCCGCACTCCTTGCATCCGTACGGCTTCTCGCCGGCGTGACTCCTCTGGTGTCCTCGGAGGTCTGAGCTGCACCTGAAGATCCCTGCGCACTTCTTACACTCATAGAGTTTGTCGGCCGCGTGAACCCTCCGGTGGCGACTGAGGTGGGCACACTGCCTGAAGGCTTTCCCACATTCTTGACACTCGTAGGGTTTCTCCCCCGTGTGGATTCTCTGGTGGAAGGTGAGTTGTTGGCGGACTCTGAAAGCCTTCCCACACTCCCCGCATTCGTAGGGCTTTTCTCTGTTACGGTTTTTCTGATAGAGACCAACTGATGAGCGTCTTTTGTACACGGCTCTTTTTCCAGGGCCGGGTTTTGTCACTTGTCTGAAACACGCCCCGCGAGAACTCTCTTGTTCTTCAAAGGTTTTATATTCAAACTCTTTCCGAAAAAAGGAATCTTCAAGGCCATACCTTTTAATTCTTTCCATTATTTCCCACGGAGACAAATTAATTTCATAAGTATTCTTTTCTTGAAGTAACACTTTACTGCTATATCTGGGTTCCAGCTCTGAAAGCCAACAAAAAAGATCAACACATGACACTCTCCTACTCTGGACAAAATAAACAAATAAAAGTTTTTAGAACAGAAATGAAAAACATAACAGAAAACAGGCCTAAACCAGGCATGCATCCGATTCCAGCACTCCAGAGGCTGAGGAAGATGCTTTGGTTACACATGCAAGCCAGCCTGGGCTACATCACAAGATTTTGACTCAAGACAAGGAAAACAAAACAGAACAAACCAATAACTAAATGAGCTAAAAGGCCCCCAAAAAATAATCATGTGATTTGAAAAAAAAAAAGTCTAAGAGAGATAAAGAAATGATGAGACCAAGTTATTTGGATATAGATCAAAATGTGAGAATCTCTACTTAAAATTTCCTTTTAAATCATACTCATTTCATGTGTGTTGGCGTGCATGAGTTTATGTGCACCACGAATGTGCAGGAGCCCATGGAGGCCAGATTCCCTGGAACTGGAGTGGCCGGCAGTTGTGAGCTGCTGTGTGGGTTCTGCAGAGGGCCCAGGTCCTCTGCAAAAACATTCAGCACTCTTAAATGCTGAGGCATGTCTCAAGCTCCACTACTTAGACTTTTTAATGACTTGTCCTTTTAAGCAGAATAAAGCGTATTTTCCCATGAACAGCATTTCCTGTGTTTACCGTATCCACATCATCGTCCCCTTTGCTCCTTATAGCTCCATCACACTGGCTTCCTCTAAACTACTAAAACTAGGCTCAGCAGGGGACTTGCTGCTCCTGCAGGAGGACCTATGTTCTGTTCCCAGTGCTCACGTGACTCACCACCTTTTGTAACTCCAGTCCTAGGGGACCTGACACGGTCTTCTGGCCCCCGCAGGCACTAGGCACACACAGCACAAAAGTATATATGCAGGCAAAAGAAGCACATAAACATGTACAAACACACATAAACATGTACAAATACGTTTACACTTTAAAAAGAGTTCAGTACAATTTTAGGTTGTCCTTTGCTTGTTTTTTCTTTGGGACAGGGTTTCATTCATGTTGGCTAGGCTGGTCTTGAACTCGGCAGGTTACCAGAGGTGGCCTTAAGCTTTCTGATCTCCCTGCCTCTGTCTCCCTAGTATAGGGTTACAGGTGTGCGCCACCACACCTGGTTTTATGTGATGCGGGGGATCTAACCCAGGGCCTCGTGCATAGTAGGCCAACACTCTATTAACAGAACTACATCCCCAGCCCAAGAGTTCAATAATTTTTAAAATGAAAAAGGTGTTTTTAAAAGGAATTTATATCATTTACCAACATTATCTGTAACATGCCCAAACTGGAAGCCCTCATCAAGAGGAAAACAGCTAAGTGAATGATGTCATATGAACACAGCACCGCACTGAGATTGGACAATCTACAACTACTTACTAAGGCAAGTAAACAAAGTCAAATACACACACACAATTGAAAACAAGAAGGGAATGAGGCAGGTGGATCTCAGTGAGTTCAGGGACAACATAGTCCAAAAAGGCTACATGATGAGACCTAGTCTTCAAAATAATAATAATTAATAATAATATTAATGATAATAGTAATTTGACGTTGTGAACAGTCTCAAGCAGGTGACTCCTCTATAGATAAACAGTCAGGTCTGCTACAAGGGGTTACTGTTATTTGTTCCCAAATTGGACTACTCAAATTCATATTCATGCAAGCAACTGAAGCTATTCATGCTCAAGGAGAACCTCGTCTATGAAACTCAGGTAGAATGTTCTGGAAGCACTAGTTACAAGTGCACATTGCATTGCTGGAGAAGTAAGTGCAGTTGAGAACATTAAAGATGATGGGAAACAGGCCGCCAGGGATTCTGCAGCTGGGGCTGTGGTGGAGCATCTGGAGGGCACATGTGAGGCCCTGGCTTCTGCCCCCGGCACCACCACAGCCAGCACAAACATTTAAAAGCAAAACTACCTTTATGAATGAAGAAGTTGAGCGAACTTAAGCTCAAGAGATCCCATCTCCAGCCAACCAGAGACTTCACATTGGTTCTATTTTCATGATCACTTTGCCTAAAATAGCTTCACTCTCATCCCTAAACCTCATCCCAGTCTTCTGTATTATTACCCTATTCATTCTTCTTTTAATACTTAGAAGGTCATTTTTTCCAAACAAAGTCTCACTATGAAACACTATGTAGCCCTGGAACTTTCTCCAGACCAAGTCTCACTATGTAACCCTGGCTAACCTGGAACTTGCTATTAGACCAGGCTGGCCTGAATTCCCAGAGTTGGGACTAAAGAAGTGAGCCACCATATCTAGCCATTTGAGGACAGTAATAAATCATTTGCGTTTTGCGTTATATGGTTGTAAGGTTCAGGTGATCAAGGCCACGGTTAAATAGAAGCTCAACCACTGAGCATGCACTCGCTAATTTTCAGCTCTTTATATTCATCTTGCCTGAGTGTACATCTGTGCACCATGCGCATGCAGCGCCCAGGAGGCCAGAAGAGGGCATCGTGTCCCCTGGACCGGGAGTTACAGGTGGCTGTGAGCCACAGTATGGGTGCCGGGAACCAAACCCAGAGCCCGTGTATTGATGTCAGTGCTCTTAACAGGGGATCCATCTTTCTAACCCTCCCCGTTTACTGTGTGACTTCATTACAAATATAAATTCCATCCAATGAAAACAAAAGTTGTATACATAAAAACTGAAATACAAGCCGGGCGTTGGTGGCACACGCCTTTAATCCTAGCACTCGGGAGGCAGAGGCAGGCGGATCTCTGTGAGTTCGAGGCCAGCCTGGTCTACAAAGTGAGTTCCAGGACAGCCTCCAAAGCTACAGAGAAACCCTGTCTCGAAAAACCAAAAAAAACCCTGAAATACAAAGCGGGCACAGCGTCACACACTGTAGTCGCAGGCCGGAGACAATCTGAGACAGGAGGATGAGGAATTCACAGTCAGCCTCATTATATAGCAAGACCCTATCTCAGAAAAGAAAATGTAGGCTGTGAAGATGGCTCAGCAGTTACGGACTCTTGGCTGCTTAAGAGGCTCAGAGTCCAAGTCCCAACACCTGCTTGGTGATTCATAACCACCTGTAACTCCCGGCTCCAGGGGATCTGATGCCCTCTTCCAGCCTCAGTGGACACCAGGCAGGCAAGTGGTGCACACACAAACATACCAGCCAAGCAACTATACAAATGAAATAAACTAATTTAGAAGGTTCTTAAGGAGTCAGGAGTATACTACAAGATTATCCACAAAGAAATTAGATATAAAACGCAGGAAAAAAATTATGCTCTCACTGGACAAGAAAACCTTCCCTTGTGGAAAAGGCAGGGAAATGAGAGAGAAGAAACAAATGGCAATCTGGCATAGAGGAAATGTCATTGGTGACTCATTCGGGAAAGGTCTAAGTTTTCTTTCCAAGTTTCATGTCTCTTCCCCATCAGCATCTCAGGGGTGATCCTCCAGCCTTCCCCATCGGCATCTAAGAGTGTGTCTTACAACCTTCCCATCAGCATCTAAGAGTGTGTCTTACAACCTTCCCATCGGCATCTAAGAGTGTGTCTTACAACCTTCCCATCGGCATCTAAGAGTGTATCTTACAACCTTCCCATCGGCATCTAAGAGTGTGTCTTACAACCTTCCCATCGGCATCTAAGAGTGTGTCTTACAACCTTCCCATCGGCATCTAAGAGTGTGTCTTACAACCTCCCCATCAGCATCTAAGAGTGTGTCTTACAACCTTCCCCATAGACATCTAAGAGTGTGTCTTACAACCTCCCCATCAGCATCTAAGAGTGTGTCTTACAACCTTCCCCATCAGCATCTAAGAGTGTGTCTTCCTACCAGCAGGTGTACATCAATCATGCCATGTACATTACTCACCTTGGCTCCACCTTCTCTTCTCATCCCTCACAATCATCCAGGGCTCCTTCCCTTGTTCCAACAGGGTGATCACATCTGGCTTAGAAATGGAGCATCCTGCTTGGAAGAGCGTAACAGAATGCATGTAAAGAATGAATCTATTTGCCAGGTGGGGTAATACATGGCTGCGGCCCCAGCAGTTAAGAGGAGAAGGAAGGAGGATCGGGTGTCATGGACGCATAGTGAATGCAAGACGTGGGGTTGGGGCACACACAGAGTTTTGTTTATTATTATTATTATTATTATTATTATTTTCAAGACAGGGTTTCTCTGTCTTTCTGGTTGTCCTGGAACAACTCATTCTGTAGTCCAGACTGGCCTCAAACTCAGCAATCCACTCACGTCTGTCTCCTGAGTGCTGGGATTAAAGGCATGTACCACCACGACCTGGCTAATTTACTTTTTTTAACTTTCATTTTTATGTGTTTGGGTGTTTTGCCTGCATGTATGTCATGTACCACGCGCATGCAGTGCTCTGAGAGGCCATAAGGGGGTGTTGGATCCCCTGGAACTGGAGTTACAAATGGTTGTAAGATGCCCTGTGGATGCTGGGAACCAAACCTACGTGTTCTGCAAAAGCAGCCAATGCTCTTAACTTATGAGTCATGTCTCCAGGATCAAAAGGAAGATTCTTTAGTCAATTCTTCAAAACAAAGATGGCCATCAGGGTAAAAGAACATTCGAATTTGAATTCTTTCAGTATCAAGGGTAGAGGCATGGCTTCATTTTTATTTAAACTCATACAGCTCCATCCTTTTAAAGCTTTTTAAATGATGATTATGCATTTGAATCATGTAGGACCATAAAAGTTTTTCACAGAGGTGTCCGTTCCACCCGGTTGTTAGCATGGGCGCTGTGGGAAGTGGCCTGGGGGGGCTTACCCAGTGCCACCAGGTGGCTGTAGTTCTCTAACATCACATCTTTGTACAGATCCCTCTCGGAGGAATTCAGGCACTCCCACTCTTCCTGAGAGAAGTCCACAGTCACGTCTCTGAACACCACCTCGCTCTGAAACGACAAGCCCATGTATTGTGCGTGAGATAAAACGGGACAAAATGTGCTGGGGAGGGTGTGTCTAAGTCACTGTTCTATCGATGCGAGGAAACGCCGTGACCAAGCCAGCTCATAAAGACAGCGTTTAACTGGGGGCTTCCTTGTAGTTTTAGAGGGTTAGTCCATGATCATAGAGGCAGGAAGCAGACAGGCATAGCTCTAGAGCAGTAGCTGAGAGCTTTACATCCTGCTACACAGGCAGCAGGCAGAGAGAGAGAGAGAGAGACAGACAGACAGAGAGACAGAGACAGAGACAGAGAGACAGACAGACAGAGAAACATGGGCTTGGTGTGAGCTTTTGAAGCCTCAAAGTTCACTCCCCCAACATCCCCTCCAACAAGGCCACACCTCTTATTCCTTCCCAAATAGTTCCTCTACCTGGGGACCAAGTATTCAAATATGTGTTACAGAAATTTTATGCCACCATCCATCCATTGTCCACTTGAATAGTGTTTGGTTTGAGAGGCGGGGCTCATATTCACCTGGCAAGAATTGATCAGAGCGTCCTAGGCAGACTCAGGATGGGAGAAAGTGTGGCCCTCGGGAGAAGAGGCCGGGCCAGAAGGTTGCAAGGTATTTTAGGAGCCAGGAGGCAAACGATGGTGGGTGTGTTGTGGCCTTGGTGGCTGTTTCAGATTCTTGTAATTGTCCTCAAGTTTTATAATACGGTAAACGGTAAAAGAAACGGCTTCCTAGATACATAGGGGAGGGCCCAGGCCCTGACCCAAACGGTGTGACAGATTTTGATGATTCCCGCATGGGAGGCCTCACCCTCCCTGGGGGTGGGATGAGGGGCTGGAGGGGGGGGCATGGGAGGACAGAAGGGAGAGGGAACTGGGATTTGTATGCAAAATAAGATTGTTTTTAATTTAAATAAAAACTATTTTAAAAGACTTGAACAATAATATCAGTAAGAGGATCTTTAAGTGATTTTTACAATGCTAAAAAGCTTTTTAAAGATATGGAGACAAGTGTGACCTGTAAGAGAGAGAGGAGAGAGAGAGAGAAATGGCTTCACACATAAGGTTATGGGGCCATTCTCATTCAGACCCACGGGGGGGGGGGGGGAAGCAGGGGCTGGAGAAACAGCTCAGCCACTGCAAGAGGGCTTGCTGCTCTTGCAGAGGACCAGAGTTCATTTCACACACAGACACATAAAAAGTAACTAATGAGACCTTGAGAACATGTTTATGAGGGGATGGAGAGACCAGGTTTGGTTCCCAGAACCCATATGGTGACTCAGAACCACCAGGAACTCTGGTTCTAAGGGAACTGCATCTGCTCCGGATGCTGAGGGCTCCAGCATGCATGCAGTGCACATATACACACACCCAGGCACACTCGCATACAATAAAATTAAACCAATGTCTTGAAAAACTGAAATAGGTAAGACTATGTGTGTGCCTCGTATAGCATCTTTTACGGCGTCAACCATGGAAAATTTAAAATTACATATGCAGTAACTGCTCACAGTGTAATTCTGTGGAAGCGGTGATGTTTTAAGGAGAGGTTCTCTGGTCTTCAGGGTTCACACTGATTGGGTCAGGGCACCCTCACATGAAGATGGAGAGAAGGGCACAGAATAGGTAGCTGCAGGGGCTCCATCCCTGTGTAATGGAAGACTGGGGAGCAGATGAAGGATCGGATTCTGATAGGAAGTTTCAAAAGAACAAATGAGAGTCTTTGTACAACCTGACAAAACAAAAAGTCAGGGCCGCCGAGAGGGTTCACTGAGTAAAGGCCGTTGCGGTCACGCCAGATGACCTGAATCCATCCAGGACACACATGGCGGAAGAACTGGCTCCCAAAAGTTATCCCTTTACCTCCACAGACACCTGAGGCAGCGCCCTCCATACAAAATGAGCAAACACAAACAAATAAGGGCACGAGCTTTATCCCCGGGACCCACAGGGGAAGCTGAGTGTTTGGGGTCGATCCTCAGGACACTCAAAGCAGAAGGGGAGAACCAACTCCAAAAGTTGTCCTCTGGCAGACACACGTGCCCCACAGCATGCTTATGCCTGTGTGTGCATGCACACACACGTGCCCCACAGCATGCTTATGCCTGTGTGTGCATGCACACATGTGTGCTACAGCATGCTTATGCCTGTATGTGCATGCACACACACGTGCCCCACAGCATGCTTATGCCTGTATGTGCATGCACACACACGTGCCCCACAGCATGCTTATGCCTGTATGTCCATGCACACATGTGTGCTACAGCATGCTTATGCCTGTATGTGCATGCACACACACGTGCCCCACGGCATGCTTATGCCTGTATGTGCATGCACACACACGTGCCCCACAGCATGCTTATGCCGGTATGTCCATGCACACACGTGTGCTACGGCATGCTTATGCCTGTATGTGCATGCACACACACGTGCCCCACAGCATGCTTATGCCTGTATGTGCATGCACACACACGTGCCCCACAGCATGCTTATGCCTGTATGTGCATGCACACACATGTGTCCCACAACATGCTTATGCCTGTGTGTGCATGCACACACATGTGCCCCACAGCATGCTTATGCCTGTATGTGCATGCACACACGTGTATGCTGCAGTATGCTCATGCTCATACATGCATCCACACACAGGCATCATAAATAAATACAAATAGTGTAATTTTTTTAAAGACATAATTTCAGATACAGAGAAACCAACTTACATGATCCATGATTCTTGAATTGCCAAGAACTGGCTTGTCCTTCCTCAAGGATCATGCCCTGGAGAAGCTGTTCGCAGAGGCCGGAGCTGGGGAAAGGGTGCAGCCATGAGATCAGAACTGCCCAGAGCTGCCAAACTTTAAAAACCAGTATACCCCATTTCTCCCTTCTTCCATGCCACCTGGCTTTCCAACACACAAACTGGGAGAGATGGGAGGGGCTTACACAGAAACGTGCCCTCCTCCAAACTATAGGGAAATCAGCTGCAGAATGCAGCAGTGAGACTTCAGCATGCACCATGGTCACCTAGAAGACTGGTCGAGATGGCTCAGTGGTTAAGAGCATTGGTTGCTCTTCCAAGGGACCTGAGTTCGATCCTCAGCACCCACATGGTCCTCACAACCACTCGTTACACAAGCCATTATTGAGGCCTCTGCCAACACATGTAGGTGGTGCACACACATGTTAACACACACAAATAAGTTTTAAAAGGAAGAATGTGCTCTCCAGGTTTTTGGTTTTGCATGCCTGAAGATAGAGCCCGCTAGCTAGGTAAGTGCACATGCTGAGCTACAACCCCAGCACTTGCATTTGTAAAATTTCCCCAAATGCAACAGCAGCTGATGATGGTCCAAAGGTCACACTTAGGATAACACATCATGCAGAGGCACAAAGATCTTCAGAGGCAGGCAGATTTCTGTGAGTTCCGGGCCAGCCTGGTCTACAGAGGAGTTTGAGGACAGCAAGGACTACACAGAGAAACCCTGCCTCGAAAAAGAAAAATAAGAAAAAACAAAAAACGAACGACCAATGCAGAGGCAGAGGATGAGCCTCAGTGGTACCTTCAGCCGCTGACCTCAGTACACTTAAGTAATGCTAGGCCTTAACAAATCACGCGTCAACCTTTAACACAGCATTTCAGTATTGCAGAGTCCTATCTGAATGTATGCGGCACGTGGGTAATTAACTGTAGAACCCCCATCATGCACTGCACTAAAAGAGACCTCCTCTGATTAGATCTCTGCTCACTGAAAATGTAGGGAAATTCTCAGACCCAGAGCAATGAATAATTCATTCTTTTTGTCTTTTTGTTTTTTAGGGTATCGATGTGGCCCAGGGTGGCCTTGAATTCCTCACCCTCGTGGACTGAATGGCAGTGACGTCACTCACAGCTGAATAAAACATTTTCAGAGAGCTTTCAAAGGGAAGAAGATTAACCCCATGTCCTAAAAATTCAGACGAATTTCACAGAAGCACCAGAAACTCACATGTAACCTCGCTTTTAAATAGAAGCAGCGGGCCTGGAGAGGCGGAGCGCATTTCTTTTTTCTTTCTGACCGGGTCTCTTGCAGCCCAATGTCAGGCATCCATTGGAGGATGACCTCGACTGCCTTATCCCCCTGCCTCCACCTCCCAAATCCTGAGATCACACAGGTGTGTGCCACTACGCCCTCTGGCTTCACCCCCACGCTTTCCTGAACTTGGTCAGAGCCCCCTCCCCACTCTTCAGGGGTCCCGGCTGATTCCACCCGCCCGCACCACAGCAAGCGACAGGAGCCGGCGGCAGCCCACAGCCACCCGCGTCTGTGCTTGCTGCTTCGGCCAGCCTGTGCAGTGGACTCCCGGGATGCCACCCCTGCGGCTGCCTGGCCTCTAGCTCCGAGTCGTCCCGCGGCTCTCTGCTCCCGAGGCCTGCCCGGCATCGAAGGAGCCCGCGTTCAGCACAGGGGGTCTCCACCGTGCAAATCGCCCCCCTCCCCCGCGCCGACTTCCCCCTCGGTCCCTGTCCGCAGCCAGGCCGGGGGGTTGGGTGCAGCACGATAGGCTGCACACACAGATGACCACCCGAGTCCCAGGGGTCCACAGAGCGGACCCCGCCCTCGAATCCCAGAGGAGAAGAGCATAGGTCCCGCGAGCCCGGCTCACCCGGCTGTGGGACGCGGTGCCCAGAGTGTGGGTCCCAAGTGCGGTGACCCGGGCCTCGGCGCTGCGGCGGTGGCACCGAGGTGCTATCGAGGGTGATACTGGGGGCTCCAGGGCTTCCGATCTCAAACCAGAAAGTCCGGGATGCTGCTTGCTTCTTTCTCCAGGTCCTGGGCTCTCCGCCCTGCAGAGACTGTGAGCCCCGCCCCCAGCTGCTGGACCGCGGGGGAAGGTGGGGGGGGGCATCTGTGCGGCAGTGCGCAGGCGCACAAGGAACCAGTGGGGCGAGAGAGGCTTCTGTGGCTTCGCACCCGCAGTGAGAGCTTGGTGCCAGGATACAGGGTTAGGCCGAAATAGCCTGGAGCCGTGACTCCGGCGTTGAACAAAACAACACCCTGATGCTTCGAGGTCCAGCTTGGATCGCTTGCTGAACAACGGCCCTTGGTTTTTGGCTTCCGTTGCTTGTTTTTAAGACAGTCTACCTAAATGGCCCTGGATCTCCCCACAGAGACCATGCTGACCTTGAGCTTGCGAAGATCCTTCAGCAAGCCCCCACTGCTGGCATTAGAGGCACAAGCCACCACACCCCTACCTGAACCACTCTTATGGCTGTGATAAGATTGTCTACCAGTTTTTCTTCCTTTCCTTTTAAATATCTGAGGCAAAGTCTCTCTATGCAGCCCTTGCTAGCCTGGAATCTGTAGACCAGGCTGGCCTCAAACTCAGAGGCCTACCTGCCTTCCTTTCCGTGGTACTGGAATTAAAGGTGCGCGCCACTACTTTGGGCACGGTTTTCTTTTCAGAAAGCAGACTAGGGGTTTAAACCACGGGTATGGTTTTCATGGTAGTCCTACATTCTTTTTTTTGTTTGTTTGTTTTGTTTTGTTTTTGTTTTACGAGACAGGGTTTCTCTGTATTGTTTTGGAGGCTGTGGGTCCAGCCTGCCTCTGCCTCCCGAGTGCTGGGATTAAAGGCATGCACCACCACCGCCCGGCAGTCCTACATTCTTATGCAAGGAAGAGTTTTCCTTTTCCTCTATTTCTTCCGTCTTAACAGCACAGCACATATTTGCGGATTATAATGTGTTATAATCAATTTCTTTCGTTTTGATGTCTGTGTTTTCCAAGATTTGACTTGTGGGAGCCCCTGAAGCTGGATTGGTGAGGTTTTTTTGATTGTTTGTTTGTTTGTTTGTTTGAACTACAACCCAGGCTGACCTGGAACTCATGATTTCTTCCATTTGGCCTCCCTTCCGCTGACATTACAAAAGATACCACACTGGGTTATTGGATAATTTGTCTTCTGGTTTATTTCTAACACTGATTTGTTTTTAATATTGTAGCATTAAATACTTCAGGGGGAAGGGGAGATGGCTCAGGGCTTAAGAGCTGGCTGCTCTTCCGGAGGGCCCAGGTTCAGTGCCCAGCACACATATAGTGGCTCACAACTGTCTGTAACTCCAATCCCAGGAGACCCAATGCCCTCTTCCAGTTTCCATGGGCACTAGGCAATGTGTGTTGTGCACATACATACATGCAAGCAAAACACTCATACACATAAAATGTAAAAAACAAAGCACATTTCAGCTTCATCATTCATTTCCAATATCCTAGCCAAAAGTATAGAAAGCAAGACAATTCCATTAACTCACTTTGTATAGGGTGTGTGTGTCTGTCTGTCTGTCTGTCTGTCCATGTATATTCTACGATGGTATACATGTGCAGGTCAGACAACTTGAGAAAGTTTGAGGCAGAAGGACTGTGACTTGAGGTTAGCCTGGGGTAGTGAATTCCAACCTGGGCTACATATAAAACAAGACCCTGTCTGAATGGGTAAAACAAATAAAACACAGCTGTCAACATGTCACTAGTAGTGGGCTAGGTCAACAGTAGAATTGAGAAAAAAGAAAAAAGAAATCTATGCTAGTGATGATGCAGGTTTAGAATTTAAATAACTCCAGAGGCGGAGGCAAGGGAATTACAGGTTCAAGGCCTGAACTGGCAACTTTGTGGGACTCGAAACAAACAACAAACAAAAACCCACAAACCTAAAACTGTTGCAGACAATATGTAGCCAGTATTCAGATTCAACTGTTGACAAGATCAGTGTATTTGCTGTTGATCTCTCACTACAATAAACTGAAATAGGGTCTATGCCAGGCTGGCCTCTGCCCACCAATGCCCCTCCTGCAGTATGCTAGGTAAGAAAGGCACGTACCACTGCACCTGCCTTTGTCTTCTGGGTCTAGGGGAGGCCGACACGCAGGGCCTTGTGCATACGCAGATCACTGCTGCTGAGCTATGTTCTCGGCTGCTCTGTGATGACAGCTTAGTAAGCTTTAGATGACCCCCAGGCACAAACGCTCTGGTTTCCCACCTTAGTCTGTGATCCTCTGGGCCCCTTCTCCAGGGTTGGGAGTGCAGGTGTGCACCGCTATGCAGTTTATGAACCCAGGACTTTGTGCATGCTAAGCAAGCAAGCTAGTGGGTTCCATCTCTAGTCACCTCTCTCCCTCCCCCCTCCCTCCCTCCCTCCCTCCCTCTCTCTCTCTCTCTCTCTCCCTCCCCCCTCCCTCTCTCTCTTCCTCCTTCCCTCCTTCCCTCCCTCCCTCCCTCCCTCTCTCTTCCTCCTTCCCTCCCTCCTCTCTCTCTCTCTCCCTCCCTCCCTCTCTCTTCCTCCTTCCCTCCCTCCTCTCTGTCTCTCCCTCCCTTCCTCCCTCCCTCCCTCCCTCCTTCCCTCTCTCTCTCTCCTCTCTCCCTCCCCCCTCCCTCTCTCTCTCTTCCTCCCTCCCTCCTCTCTCTCCCTCTCTCTTCCTCCTTCCCTCCCCCTCCCTCTCCCTCCCTCCCTCTCTCTCTCCCTCTCTCTTCCTCCTTCCCTCCCTCCTCTCTCTCTTCCTCCCTCCCTCCTCTTTCCCTCTCTCTTCCTCCCTCCCTCCCTCCTCTCTTTCTCTCTTCCTCCTTCCCTCCCTCCTCTCTCTTCCTCCCTCCCTCCTCTCTCTCTCTCTCTCTCTCTCTCTCTCTCTCTCTCTCTCTCTCTCTCTCTCTCTCTCTCTCTCTCATTTTTGAGACAGGGTTTCACTTGTAGCCCTGGCTGTGCTGGCCTCAAACTCAGAAAGATCCACCTGCCTATGCTCCCAAGACCTGAGACTAAAGGTGTGTGTGAGCACCCAGCTGCTTTCTTTTTAGGACCAGGGAAATACTAACCTGGCTCGGTTTGACTCCGTACTTTGTATGTTTTATTTACAGCATATGATGAGATTATATGTAGGGAAAAGGGTCCAGCCAAAGAAACACACCCTGAGCAGAGCCAAAGAAACACACTTTGGCCCTGGAATCAGAGTCAGTGAAAGAAATGCACCCTGGCCCTAAAATTAGAGCCAAAAGGCTAAAAAAAAAAAAAAAAAAAAGCCCAGAGAAAGAAACACACTTTGGCCCTGAAACCAGAGCCAAATCTAACCCTAACCCTGTGCAGAAAACTAACCAATCCTCGAGCAGGAGCTCTAGCCAATCTGAGCTCAGCATTGAAATCTGACCAATCCCCACCTTGGAAGCCGTGTTTGTTCAGCTTGTGACTGTTCACACTACCTGGTTGTCCTCTGCCACTGTGGCAGAGGACAGCCACTCTCCTGGATTCTTCCCTCCCAATAAACCCCCTGATGAGCTTTGGGTGAAGACCTTTTGCGGTGGAGCAGAGACCATCCTGGGCAGGGCAGAGCAAGCAGGGCTATAACATTTTTGCCGGGGAACCCTTCCCCTGGCAGAGAGGAGTTGTTACACTCGGCTCTCTACTCCCGGCAGCAGAGCTGAACTATAGCAACTTCGCCCGGGAATCCTTCTCCTGCCGGAGCAAAACTACTACACTGGGCAAACATCCCCAGCTGGAAGACCCTGTCCTGCCAGAGCGATAATACACCGGGGAAGCCTTTCCCTGAGGCAGGGCTGTAAGCTGCTATGCTTACTGCAGCCTGTGGTAGCCCTTGGCTCCCGAGTTCCAGATACCTTTCCACATGAGCTGTGTAACACTCAGTATTCTGTGACTCCCAAGTGCCAGAATACCTGTCCTACCCGATTCACCCAAATGCCCACACTATATAGCTGGTAAAATATGCCGTTTCACAAGCTGCTTGCAAATGGCAGAATATACAACAATCTTTCTTCTTATACACACAATAGCTTAACAGAATCTGCTTTGTGAATGTAAAGTTTAATAAGATGCATGGCTTTGGGGGTTAACCTGTTGCTGTGATAAAACTGACAAAAAGCAGCTTAGGGGAGAAAGGGATTTATTCAGCTTCCAAATCCAGGCTACAGCACATCACTATGGAGGATTCAAGGCACGTGAAAACAGAGAATAAACGCAGGAACTGTTGCTTGCTTTCTTCACTTTTACATAGTTCAGCACCCAGCCTACGGGATGGTGCCACTCACAGTGGGCTGGGTCGTTCTACACCAATTAACCAGCACGGCAATCCACAAGACATATATATCCACAGGCCAACCTGATCTAAATAATTCCCCAGTAAGACTCTCCTGGAAGATGATTCTAAGTTGACAGATAAAACTAACCAGTAAAGGGATGGAGAGATGGCTCAGAGGTTAAGAGCACTGACTGCTTTTCCAGAGGTCCTGAGTTCAATTCCCAGCAACCACACGGTGGCTCACAACCATCTACAATTCAATCTGGTGCCCTCTTCTGGCATGTAGACAGAACACTGTATATGTAATAAATAAATCTTTAAAAAACAAACTAGTAAAACATACTGTTATGCCAAGTTTATGAGACCCCAAAAAAGACCACCAAGGAGCCAACTCCCAACTCACTGATGAAAATGCATTAGGTTTAATGTTAAGCTACAAGCCTCGGCAGGGACCCTGTCCAGCAAACTGGCCCCGCAGCTGCAGGAAAAGGGTGCCTGGCCTCAATTGCAAGGGGTTTTTAAAGGAAAAGACAGCAAGCAGGGTGGTAGGTGCCTTGGCTGTTCAGGATTGGGTAAGAGTGGGTGACCTTTGGGTTCACTGACTTGGGGGCTAGGGAAATTTCAAAACTGTTACTAATGGTTGCCCACAAGGACAGTTGTGACGAGATGTTATTTACTAAAATTAGTCATTGCCTGACCACTCGGATGGGGTCACTTTGTCAGGGTGGGCACAATTTGGGTGCTCCTTGGAACTGTTTATGGTTCATTGGTTGGAGTTGAATCAGCCTTGTGTCATGCAGGGAATTTCTCAAGGTGGCTTTTTCTGAGGATGGAGTTAACTCCATCTCCAGTTTACCTTGCTCTTACAATACTTAAGACATGTAAGCATTCACCACCTTTTAGGGC